TCATTACTCAATGCTAAGCATACACTTACTGCTATTTGTGATAAACTTCATCCTCTAGGTAACTCCTGGTTTTCATTTTTACGAATTTCTGGGTTCTTTGTGTGCCTCCTGTGACATCAGTTGTCACAAATCACTTCCTATCTAGCTTTTTAACCCATACCAGGCAAAAAACCAAGAGGTTTGCTAAGGACAATGCTTAGCACAATGTTACAGGAAAGAAAATATTTAATAAAATGCATTCTGGTAGTAACATTTAATGTATGTTCACACTGGAAAAATACTGAGTGGTCATCAATCCTTACCTTTTCCAAGTAAAATAAGACTAATTTCATTCTAATTTTTCCAGTTTCTAAAATTTGGAGATGTCTGTGTTTTGCATAGTGAGAAAAGTGATGCATCAGAAAGTTATAAATCCATTAAACTATGGATCTAAACCTGGCACTGGAGTCTATGTCACTTTCACTTCCTTCCATAAAACACTTTGTTGTTAGTAATGGTGATTCAGTGTTATAATACATCTCATAGTTTGCTAATAATTATTAAGACAACTGAAATCAGTCGTCCTCAACTTCACAAGGTTGAAAAGCACTGCAACGTAGGAACATTTTTCTTTCAATCCAGCAAGAATAAACCTAACAAAGAAATAGGGATGGGAGTTTTACCTTTTGCTACCGCCTCTCCCCAAAATATTTAATAGGCTCCTTTGAATGGTTCCTTCGTCATGAATATCTGCTTTGCTCGCAAACCTCCAATGTGTCTATAGTACAAGGTACATCTACTTTTATATGTCATATTTGAGCAACAAATAAGACAGAACTCTTGTCAACAACACAGCATCAACTGCCAACTAAATATTTATGCTTATTTGGGTAAGAACTGTTCTCATCTGTGATAGCATTAGCAGTTTGGGATTAACTCATAGACATTTTACTAATTCCAGAAAACATTACTCATTAGAGCATATGCTGCACCGGAAAACATCACCGACCTGTGTTTAGGTTCTCTCCCAGTGAACAGGTTTTCAATAAAATTAGGTTAACACAAGTATGAGTTCATGTTCTTCTCTCGAAGCTATAAAATCCAAAGAGGTCAGAGGGCTCCCTCTTACCTGAACGCTGGTTAGAGTTGTGTACTGGTAGGCTCTGACAACCAGGTAATTAGCTTCCACATCTGCTAGTCCCAGCAGAATGTACTTCCACCATTTTCTTTTCAAGATTATTAAAAGGTTATCACTGCCTGGTTGAAAGAAATCTGGATTAATACATGTTACTTGAAAATGATATCATGCATGTTAATTTGGAGATTAAAGAGCCAAAGCAAGTGTCTATTGTGTATATCAAATGTGGCCCCTCCTAATTTCCATTACTCATAATCCAAACTCTGCAACAGCTCAGCAGAGTCAGTTACAGTTTTTCTAGCACGAGACTCAAGTTAAGGTGTCATCATAGATTAAGGAATCAATGAAAGCACCAGAAAGAAAGTAGGAGAAAAGTGGTTACATTCCCTTTCCTAGCCAGGTGCAGTGGCATGTCCCTGTAACCCCAGCTACTTAAGAGGCTGAGGTGGGAGGATCACTTGAGCTTAGGAGTTTGAGACCAGCCTGGGCAATATAGTGAGACCCTATCTCAAAAAAAAAAAAAAGTCCCTTTCCTATTGCAACAGAAATATAATATCCGGATATAAGCCTGGATGTCACCATTTCTGACAAGCTACAGACTATCCTAGGAAATGAAATGTTTTCCTATAAATTAATTGGTTCTTTAACCTCCATTCACGGGCTGCTTCAAAGAAAACTCTGCAAGTGATTATTCTTTTGGAAGAGATTCACTTTCAAGTGAAAACTGAGTCAGTGATAAGCTTGGGAAAAGGCTTAGTGGCACCATTCAAGAAATATCTTTTATTCCCCCAAATTCTGTTTATTCAAATTAATTGGCCAGGCACTGTGGCTAATGCCTGTAACTCCAGGACTTTGGGAGGCCAAGGCAGGAGGATCGCTTGAGGCCAGGAGTTTGAGACCAGCCTGGGCAACATAGCAAGACTCCATCTCTAAACAAAAAAAAAATTAATTAGCTGAACATGGTGGCTTGCACCTATAGTCAGTCCTAGCTACTCAGGAAGCTGAGGCAGGAGGAACACTTGAGCCCAGGAGTTGAAGGTTACAGTTAGCTATGATCATGCCACTGCACTCCAGCCTGGGCAACAGAGTGAGACCCTGCCCCGCCAAGAAAATAAATAAATAAAATTGGATTCACTATTTTTGGAGAATTCAGCACCACAGGAGATATAGAGTTGGCACATATATAAGAAGGCGTTATGGTAAGATAACTTACAAAGAAATGTAAGTAGTGAGAATCACAACTAAATAAATATCATTAAAACCCAATTAGGGATTGTTTGATTTTTTTCCTTGCTGATTTTCCTCAGTTCTATATAGATTCTAGTTATCAGCCCTTTATCAGATGTATAGCATGCAAATATTTTCTCCCATTCTGTAGGTTGTCTGTTTGCTCTAGTGATAGTTTCCTTGGCTGTGCAAAAGCTTTTTAATTTGATCAGGTCCCATTTATTTTTGTTGTTGCTATGATTGCTTTTGGGGTCTTCTTCATAAGTTCTTTGCCTAGGCTAATGTCTATAAGAGTTTTTCCAACATTTTCTTCTAGAATTCTTATGGTTTCATGCCTTAGGTTTAAGTCTGTTATCCATTATGAGTTGATTTTGGTAAGAAGTGAGAGGTTAGGATCCTGTTTCAGTCTTCTACATGTGGCTATCCAATTTTCCCAGCACCATTTATTAAATAGTGATTCTTTTCCCCAGTTTATGTTTTTGTCTGCTTTGTCAAAGATCCGATGGCTATATGAGGATGGTTTTATATCTGGGTTCTCAGTTCTGTTCCATTGGTCTATGTCTCTGTTCTTGTACCAGGACCATGCTGTTTTGGTTACCATAGCCTTGTAGTATAGCTTGAAGTCTGGTAAATTAATGCCCCCCAATTTGTTCTTTTTGCTTAAGATTGCTTCTGCTATATGGGGCCTTCTCTGGTTTCATACAAAGAGTAGAATTATTTTTTCTAAATCTGTGAAACATGATGTTGGTATTTCAAAAGGGAATGAATTGAATCTATATATCACTTTGGGTGGTACAGACATTTTAACAATGTTGATTCTGCCAATCCATGAGCATGGTATGGTTTTCCATCCGTTTACATACTCTGTTATTTCCTTCCTCAGTGTTTTGTAGTTCTCCCTATAGAGGTCTTTCACCTCCTTAGTTAAATATATTCCTAGGTATTTTATTTTCTTTGTTGCTACAGAAACTTTTCAAAAGAAGATAGACTAATGGCCAAGAAACATATGAACAAATGCTCAACATCTCTAATCATCAGGGAAATGCAAATCAAAACCACAATGAGATATTGCTTATGAATAACCCCAGTGAGAATGGCTTTTATCAAAAACTCCCAAAACAACAAATGTTGGCATGGATGTGGAGAAACAGAAACACTCATACACTGCCGGTGGGACTGAAAACTAGTACAACCTCTATGGAAAGTAGTATGGAGATACCTCAAAGAGCTAGAAGTAGAACTACCATTTGATCCAGCAATCCCACTTCTGGGTATCTACCCAAAGGAAAAAAAGACATTCTATAAAAAAGACATCTGCCCTCAAATGTTTACAGCAGCACAATTCACAATTGCAAATGTGGAAACAACCCAAGTGCCCATCAATCCATGAGTGGATTAATAAAATGTGGTATATGTATACCATGGAGTACTACTCAGCCATAAAAAAGATGGTCAACTAATACCTCTTGCATTATCCTGGATGGAGCTGGAGCCCATTCTCCTAAGCGAAGTATCACAAGAATGGAAAAACAAACACCACACGTACTCACCATTAAATTGGCACTAATCGATCAAAACTTATGCATGCATATGGCAGCAACATTCATCGGGTATTAGGCAAGTGGGAGGGGGAGGAAAGGATAGTTAAACTCACACCTAATGGGTGTGGTGCGCTCTGTCTGGAGGATGGGCATGCTTGTAGCTTTGACTCAGGCAGTGCAAAGGCAATTTATGTAACCAAAGCATTTGTACCCCTGTAATACTCTGAAATGTAAAAAAAAGAAAAACAAAACTCAAAGTTAAAACATTAAAAAAAAAAAAAAAAACAATTAGGGCTGGATGTGGTGGCTCATGCCTGTAATCCCAGCACTTTGGGAGGCCAAGGTGGGAGGATAGCTTGAGCCCAGGAGTTTGAGGCCAGCCTGGACAATGGAGTGAGATCCCATCTCTACAAAAAATTTTTTCAAAATACTTAGCTAGACATAGTGGTGCACACTTGTAGTCCCAGCTAATGGGGAAGGTGAAGCAGGAGAATTGCTTGAGCTCAGGAGTTGGAGGCTGCAGTGAGCTATGATGGTGCCACTGCATACCAGCCTAGGCAACAGAGTAAGACCACAGAATTAGTCTTCCTCAAGTTTGCATGGGAAACATGTAACAGCCATCCCTTAGAGGGACTGCACTGATGTATTTATGAATCTCACTGACTTCCTAAAAGTCAGTGCTTCCAGAGAAGAGCAAAGTCCAGCGTTATTAACCATGTACCAGTTCTACTTCCAAACTCCTAAAGCTCTTGCCAAAGTTGGTGCTTCCCCCTTAAAATGTTTTCCCCTCTCCCACAACTAGTTTCTACTTTCTTTAAAATAGACACACAGTAATACCGTTGATATGTATGGAGGTTCATTTTAAAAAAGAGTATTAACAAACACCACACTGATGATTTTATTATATGCCTTAAATACAATGAGAATGGAAGTACTACACCTTCCCAATCAGTTTGGGTTACCCATTTTCCTCACATTCCCAAATTCAATGTCATTTACTTTATGTGATATTACCATGCTCTTCTCTTGTGGGAAGGTCGTTTGTTACCATGACTAGCAGCCTCTAATACGGAGTGGTCGTGACAGCATGGGCTCTGGGGCAGGCTGCCTAAGATGCAATCCTGGCTCCACCAGTTATGACCAATAAGACTTAGCGTAAGTTATCTAAGTGCTATATGCCTCAGTTTCCTTATCTGTAATGTGGGCATAATACTCACCTAAGTTGTGAAGCTTCAATGAGTAGAACCATAACTTAATGATTTAAGCAATAAAAATGATGCTTAGCACAAACATGTTAGAACCTAGTTTTTCCCAATTTCGGGTAGATAGCTAGAAATAACAATCCTATGATGGCTCTAAAGTAGCTTAGGCAGCCAGTGATAAGATGTTAATTCCTTGCCAATCCCTTGTCTTTGTGTCTCTCAAAAGAGAGACTTGATCTACATGCAAGTGATGTTCCACTTAGCATTTACCACTTCGTTGGAAATACATATTTTAAAGAGTGAGATTCATAGGCCGGGCGCGGTGGCTCACGCCTGTAATCCTAGCTCTCTGGGAGGCCAAGGCGGGCGGACTGTTTGAGCTCAGGAGTTCGAAACCAGCCTGAGCAAGAGCGAGACCCCGTCTCTACTAAAAATTAGAAAGAAATTAATTGGACAACTAAAAATATATAGAAAAAATTAGCCGGGCATGGTGGTGCATGCCTGTAGTCCCAGCTACTCGGGAGGCTGAGGCAGGAGGATCCCTTGAGCCCAGGAGTTTGAGGTTGCTGTGAGCTAGGATGACGCCACGGCACTCTAGCCCGGGCAACACAGTGAGACTCTGTCTCAAAAAAAAAAAAAAAAAGAGTGAGATTCTTGACTTTTCAAGTGTGTTTTAAATATTGTTTTAATAATTTTTAATATGAAGAAAAAATCTAACTCGTAATGACATTACAGTTTGTTTGTTTGTTTGTTTAGAAAAATTACTATTGCAGGCTGGAAGGAATCAAGGAAGTACATTCCACAGTGCAGGAGTGGGCCTTTTTTTTGCCTGGACTCTGGCCAACATTATAGCTTTCTTTTTTGACAATTTCTACTCCGTTACAGTTTGGTGCTATAAATCAACTTTTAAGCTTTAATCAACAATTCAGAGAATCATGCATAAATTTCTAGTTATGACTTTCATAGAATTTACAGGTTGTCATAGTTTTCTAATAACTTTTAGAAATACAGCTATAGTTTCCTGTTCTTGGTTTTGCCCTGTGTCTTATTTTTTCAATGTCTAGAAGCCAAAAATTTTTATGCAAATAATTTTGTTGAAAAGTAATTCCCTTTTGACATACCTGATCGAAATGCCAGCATCATTGTATAAACCAGGAATAGTAAGCAATAGTTGATAAAGCTCTGAAGCATGGGAGTGTTCACTTTGTATCTTTCTGCCAAATACTGGCTGGTGATGGCTGTTCCACATATACACAAGGACAACATCTGACCCAGAGCAATTGTTTTCAAAATATTCCTAGAAAATAAAGGAGGAAATCAGAATAACTTGCACGTTATACCTTTCACACACACACACACACACACACACACACACACACACACACACACACTCTTTAGTGCTAAACACAAAGTGAAATGCTAATTATTCCTGGTAGTTCTTTATTCCGTTTTATTGCTTACTTCATGTGCACAAAAACTGAATTGTTAGATTTTTTTTTTAAAGAATGAAACAAGGTTTATTTAGGAAGGGCAAGATAGGTGTACAGAGCAAGAGCTAGATACATTTGCCGCAGACAATGAATGGGCCTCCTGTTGTAACAAGAGGCTGAACTGTTGGATTTTGAGAGGCTACATTTTTATTCTCTTTTACATTTCTGATTCCCCCTCCATTCCCACAAAGACATATTCCCCATTTCATTGACCACGCACTTAGAGATCATTTTGATTACTTAACTATGTCGTATACTATTTGAAATGTATATGTGTGCATGTCTGTATGTGTGACGTTTTTAAGAAACTCAGCTTTAACTCTAGGTTTATATTCTCCGTATTCAGTAATGTGCAACATTTTCTCATTCTTTCTTTCTCTGAGATACCTGACTTCTTCCACTGCCCCTCTAGAAGCAGTGATTTTCAATGTTGCCTGCCCTTCAGCCTTCAGAATCACAGAGCTTGGAAGTGGATCCTATCCCAGCTGAGTCTCCAGACCAGACTCCAGCCTGGCTGACACCACTGCAGCCTTGTGAGAGGCCTGACACAGAGGGCAGAGCTAAGCCATGCTCAGATTCCTGATCCATACAACTGCGAGATAATAAATGTGCGTTGTTTTAAGCCACTAAATTGGTAATTTGTTACACAGCAATAGATAATGCACACTTTGTTGTCATTCAATAAATATTTGTTGAAGAAATGAATGCAAATGGATAAAGAAATTCCCATATATACCCATATGATACCTCCCCACTTTCCCAATGAGGTAGACTCGTCAGAGAAAGATAAGAAACTAAGAGAGTGTCATGACACAGAAGCTAAGAGTAGCAAAACATTTCAAGAAGGAAGAGATCATCAATACTGCAGTGTCAGAAACTGCAGAGAGAAGTGGCGTAAGACTAAAGAGACAGTATGATTGGCAAGCTGGAAGTTGCTAGATCTCTGAAGGAAAACTTTTGGTTAGTGATAATGTCCAAGGTCAGATTTCAATAGGCTACGTGAGCAGAAGATGAGCAAGTGAATGCACCAAACATAAATCACTCTCTGAAAAAATCATGAAAGGGAGAAGAAGAAGGATGTGTACAGAGTTTGGAGAATAAGCAGCAGTTGAGAGCAGGACTTTTGTTGTTTTGTTAAGGGATCAAGAAAAATTAAGCATGTTTGGAAGATAAGCAGCAGACGACAGGAGTGGAAGCTTGAAGATTTACAAGAAATTTAAAAGAGGTAATAAAGACTTGTCCTGGAAGGGTGACTGACCAAGACTGAGAACAGGGCAATGTTTAATTAAAATGTTCTCTATATAAATACTTCCTTGAACTTCTTTAAAAAAAAAAAAAAAATCAGGGAGGTATAAAATGTGAGTTCATTGTTAGATGAACCTCAGAGTTCGTTCATCTAACTCACTCGTTCTCCACCCTGGCTGCACACTGGGATCAACAAGAGGGCCATCTTAAAAACACGATTCCCAGGCCCCAAACCAGACCATTTATTTACTGGGGTGGGGCCTAGACTGGGATTCTCTTACTCCCCTGGTGATTTTCCCAGGGAGCCAGGTTGAGATCCCTGATACAGTCCAGCCTTCTCATGTAGGTGTCAGAGGGAAGTCGAGAGGGGAGATGAGGTGCTTAAAGTTATCCAATGTGACTTCCAAACTTGTATTAAATTACCAGGATGTGTAATTATTTCCTTTCAAGGGCCTGTTGGTGTTTCCTCTAGTTCAGAATTTCATGCTGTCCCCCTTCCTCAGTTTTTATCTCTGTTCATCTTTTCTTTCATTTATTTAACATGTACTTTGTGTCCAGAGTTGCTGAGCAAAGTAGAAAATACCAGAACAGCAGAAGACACACAATATCTGTCCTAAGAGTTTACAATGTATTCTTTCCTCTGGAATATTTGTTTCAATAATCTACAATTAACCTCAGATAACCTTAGCACAAGGACAAAAAGAGAGAGGTGAAGCTTGCTGGGTAAGACGACCCTAAATACATTTGTTGAGCGCCTACCATTGCCAGGCCATGAAGATACAAAAATAAATAGGCAGTTTCTGTGCCGCAGAGGCTCAGAGTCTACTGGGGATAAACAGGCATGCAAACTCATAATTAGGGCACAGCAAGACAAGTGCTAAAATGGCCTGGTCTAAAAAACTTCGAGTTCACCAGGCAGGCAAGGTAAAGAAAGGCATTTCGAGCAGAAAGGCACAGAGCCCTAAAATAACATGGCACTTTCAGGGATTTCAAGTAGGTTGATGTTGCTGCAGCACAAAGTACAAGAAAAATGGTAGAAGATGAGGATGGAAAGGCCAGTAGAAACCAGATCAAGTTCATATCAAGATTATATATGTAGAGCCAGAGATCCTAACTATCTACCTAACACACACACACACACACACACACACACACACACACACACACACAAAGATTATATGTAATGCTCTAATGTAGGTATCTTATCTTGCTGGTGGTAAGATTACTGAAATCTTCTAAATAGGAGTGAGAAAACTGAGTATCAAGGCAGGAATTGAGCGTCCCTGGGTCTCTGAATACATCACAGCACATAGCACCAAAACCTTACCCTTAATTCCTACCGTGGAAACCAGTTAAAGAGGCAGGTTGACAGAGACAGGGAGTCTAGAATAACACCCAGATTTCTAGATCAGACAACTGGATATATAGCAATATGGTTAATTAAGATCCTGACAGCAGGAGGAAAACACACATTTGGAAAGGAGAATAACTCCATTTTGGACATGCTGGATTTTGTTTAATTATGAAACAGCCAAGAAGCCATGTCCAGTAAGCAGTTTGGAGCTGGGAGAAAGGAGGAATAAATCTGGGAATCATGTACATAAAGGTGGTAGTTGAAGTTGGGGGATATAAATGATATCACTAAGGCATATAACTAAAAATTGAGAATAAAAGAGAGCAAAGAAGAAACACTCTGGGAAACATCACCATTTAAAGGGCTGGAGGAAGAGGAATTAGAGACAGACAGGAAGGAGCATGGCCAGGGAGGTAAAGGGAGCACCAGGAAGGAAGAACACTGGAAGCTGAGAGAAGACAGTGTTTCAGGAAGGGAGCACTACAGTTTGGACTGCAGCAACTTTCCCCTAACCATGCTTCCTGGTCCACTCTCACCCTCCCCAAATTCACTCCTGCTTCAGTAGGAGCGATGTTCTGAATATGTTAACACAATGAGATCATTCTCCATGTCTAAAACCTTTCAGTGGTTCCCCTTTGGCCTTAGATGCAAGCCAAACTTTAAAATGGCCTAGAAGGCAGCTACCATCTGACCCCTTCCTGCCTCTCCAGCCTCTTCTTGGACTACTTTCTCATAATTTATTTCATTTCTAATGTTTAAAATTTTTCATAAGATGTTTAAAATATAACTAAGTATAAGGCTGGGCATGGAGGCTTGCACCTGGAATCCCAGCACTTTGGGAGGACAAGGCAGGAAGATTGCTTGAGGCCAGGAATTCAAACCAGCCTGAGCAATATAGCAAGACTCTATCTCTACAAAAAATTTTAAAAATTAGCTGGGCTGGTGGTGTGTGCCTGTAGTCCCAGCTGCTTAGAAGGCTGAGGCAGAATTGTTTGAGCCTAGGAGTTCCAGGTTGCAGACAGCTATG